CCAAAAACATTACCCTTGTTGCTGGGTGTAAGTGGAGCCCCCTGGTGGTCTGTGACAAGTTTTGCTTTAGCAATAAACATTTTCTTGTTCTTCATCTCCCACTTAGCGTCTAGTTTCAAAAACATGTAACTTTCTGTATTTAGAAAGTTACATGTTACATTTGTGCTGCTACTTGGATGGACGCACAATCTAGGATGAACATGGTGATCATAACAATCACGCTATGTTAACATCTGCAAATCAGATGTAAAAGTCTGGGAATGCTTTGCCTACTGAACATAACAGCCTCATTCTGAGTCTAAACAGGAGAAATGAATATTTTCATGTTGGTAGCTATGAGGGAAGTGACAGAAATACAAATCCAGCTCTGACTCAGAGAGGGGATCATATCAACATCAGTGTGTCTACAGAAAACTCCAGAGTGAGGGTAGAAGTCTTTTCTTTCTCTTATTAGAGGACACATTTGTGCAAAGAGTCTAAAGTAAAGATGCTGTGGAGTCTGTTGTTCATCACTTTGATTGGTAAGTGGATCATTTGATGTTCCTGCCTGGCACAGTGATGTTTCAATGATCGTTATAAAGAATGGAAAAGTAGTAATTCACTCATTCTTACATCGTTCTCTGAAACTTCACAGAAAGATCAACTCAACAGGATCCAGGTAAGAGTGCATTTCTAATCAGTTTCTTCAGGTTATATCGAAAAGTATGATGGTGCTTCTGTTGTGAATATACTTATTTGTAAAGGAAATAATATCCTATTTCTCAATTCATTTATTTATGCATCACAGTAGACGTCGCATCTGTGGGAAAATGTTTCATGTGGGGATTTTCTGTTGGACCAAAGTAATATTACAAATATCTGTATAAATATGTTATAAATGTACATTTATATTGAATTCTTTTATTAGGATACATGATCCCTGTGATTATAAACATGCAGTCATTGGTGTGTGGGTGTGAGTGGATTATATTAAACTGGGTCATCCTTCGGGATGTTTTTAGAGTCAAATTATAAAATTTCATTAATTCTGATGAATTTTTATTTGCTAAAGACAGTGTTGGGAAGGTTCTGAACCGTAGTAAAGGGACCTCTGGCTAATACATTGGGTTCCGTGTCGGGCTTGTAGCCGAAAAATAGCTTTACTTTGTTGTCTGGGTCAAGTTTGAGACAGAGAGAGGTGTTAAAAGGCTGCTCCAACGGAACTTATTGTTTCGGAGGAAAACACGAACACAGTGTACAGTAGATAATATTTTGTATTTTAAATACGTAACGGCGGCACATGTATTCCATTACTCCCCAACACTGGCTAACGGCATAACTATTCAAACTGCAATGTAATGTAGTGATGCTGCTTGGGAATAATCTGCATGCGTGTG